ATCTTAACTCAAGAATATTATTTTTCTAGATTTGTCCTTTTTTTTGAATTACATGTGGGTAAAACAATATTTTTGAGGATGCCTAAAATAGCTGGTTTGCTTTTGTGTATCTCTGACTCAAAGTGCCCTTTGACTATAAGTACATTTCAAAGGCCAAGTGGTGAATTTTAAAAGCAAATGTCAGATGTTTCCTTGTAGGTACACATTAGCTCTCTGGAAAATAATTAAAATAAAACTTTACCCCAGTTCAATAATGCTTTCCGAGTTACCTGTTTAAGGAGATTAACTCTAAAATGCCTTCGTTAATGCCCAGGAAGGAGTTTGCTTGCCTGATAGACTTAAGGCTAAAGTTTTTGTTGTTTCATTTTACTGCAAGTTTTATGGAATCTGTTGCTTCCTTTTCTAGTCAGTTAATTTGAATCAAATTAATTAAAGAACTATAATGTACATTTATTTGTCCTTTTTATGGCCGAATAGCATATGAACTAACGCACAGAATGAAGCGAATTCCCTGCCATGTAGGTCTTAGTAGGAAGCTGAAAAGACCTGATGTTCTTTTGCGCTGCCTCCCTTCCAGCGAGCACTCAAACATGTGGCCTGGACTCAGCTAATCATTTCCATGCCACTGACTGAATTGGGAGCCAGTGACAAGGAAGTGGAGATGTGGGAGATTCTGGCCAGGTGATAGAGCAAGGACCACAGCACCATCCACTCTCCAGTACTCACTGTAGCAGGGGATGTTTGCCATGTCCGGTACCTGTGGCAGCCATGTAAGCTGCGGCATCAAATCATCAGTGACAATGGCTGCATTGCCTTCACTGGACTAATTCCATCCATGACTTTTTGGGCTGTGATCTTGGTTGCTCTCTGGCCTTGCCTTTTTCCTACTTGTTTGCTGACCTTAGTTTTGCAGACTTTCCATGAATTCTGTGAAGTACTCTTATCAGTTATCTATTACTATGTAACAAAGCTCCCCAAAACTTAACAGTTTAAAACCATGACTTTTTTATTTGCTCTAATTCTGTGAATCAGCAATTTTTACTGGGCTCATCTGGGGTCATTCATATGACTACAGTCATCTGCAGCCTTCACCAT